AATGGTTTGATTTTTAAGGATATAAGATAATTGGTTTATTAAAAAAGGACATATATTTAGTCTGTGTTTGACATGTAGTTAATGACACTACTAAAACTAATTATATTTCGTAGTAACAAAATGGATCTTTTCATTTTCAGGATGAATATTCTGTTATTTGTTTCAATATATTCCTTGAAATATACAATATAAAAGTAGAATATTTTGTCTCAGTTTTATCAATGATAAAATAGCTAGAGACTATTTCTCCTTTCTTTCCTATGTAATCAAATAACATCTAGATTGGCAATAATACCTCAGGGCAATTTAGAGTTTAGTTTTTTGTCATTTCAGTTATATAAATGATATATGTAGAATGATTTAAAATTTAGTAAAGTCTTCTTGGAGAGAAACATTTAAAGAAGAGCGTTGAATAAAAGTGATTGGCACTGTAGAGCAAAGTGACTGTCTAATAATTACCTACAAGGAGAATAGTATGATATTATTTAAAACAGAAAGGGCAAAATCCTGAGAGCAAGCTTTACTTGCTCCATGAGTTAATGTGGCTTTGTTTCATTCTTTACTCTGTTACATTCTGTCTTATGTGAGGTGCACATAAGAACTTAAAGGGAGACCAAAGACTATATTAAGGATTCGAAAAGAAAATAAACATGAAAAGTTGAAAATAATTGGCATCTTACATAATTGAAGCTCTTTGATGATTTGCATAGTGCAAGCATGGCATGATATAGTAGAAAGATCAGTGCTCTCAGAAGCCAGTTACCTGGGTATGAGTCCTGATTTTGCCATTTCCAAGTTGAGTGTACTAAAGTAAGACAGTTGGCTTCTCTGAGGGTCTTCAAATGGGGGCAGTGATAATGGCCTAGCTCATGAAGTAAAGATCAAATGAGATATTAGTTGTTTTGTAAACCTGAAATGCTCCTAAAATAGAATTTAGTGGTAATATTTAAAAGTATTTTTTAGTATTATATATTTTATTTACCTTTCAAAAATTTTCCTTAAGTTACTCATGAAAAGAAATAAACTGTTTTTGGGTGGGCCTGATTATTAAGATGTTATCTAGCTGTTCTTGAACTTAAGAGAAAAGACTAAGCAAGATGAAGTAAGTTTGCAGTAGAGCATGAAGGGTTTAGATTAGATATAAATAGGATCTAATAGCACTTTGATTTGTTTGAAACTATAGTGTTTTTCTCAGGCATATTTAAATTTTTCTTTAGGTACCTTCAGAAACTAAAAATAAATTTTTCATCTGCGTTAGGTTAGGTAGCATC